TTTGACATTTGAAGAAAATGCACAGCATTAAAGAGAGTCTAGTACTAAAAAAAATGGGAAGTCTAACCTCTGAGGAGTATTTATTCTCCTAGGAGAATTTAAACTATGTTTACCTACTACCTTTAAAGAGATTTAAGTATATATTGCAGAGAGGCTGTTTTAGCACATTGGTTGAAAGCATCGGCTTTGGAGTCAGATTGTGTCTGAAACTTGGTTTTACCACTGATTAGCTCTTTGAGTTTCAGTGTGCCTCAGTTTCCTCATCCATAAAATAGGATAATAGTTTTACCTAATTCATAGGGTTGCCTTGAGAACAGTTCAGCTTAGAATAATATCAGGCACCTAGCAACCATTCAGTGAACAGTTTTATGAAAATTATTACTCTTAGTATTTGTTATAACTTCTCTATTTTACTGTTTGTCCATAATAATTGGTTGCTATAGAAAGAACCAACCCTAAGTCCTAAAACTTAAAGAGCCGATTGCTGAAATAAACTCAGTAAGTAGGTCAGACAAAATCAGATTAGTGAGGTAGATGGTGAAACCAATGATTTTGATTTTCCTTGAGCACAATGTCAATTAAAAGAAGATGAAAAGTATGAGAAGATGGGTCCAGAAGTTAACATCTAGCTAACATAAGTTCCAGAGAGAAAGTCTGTGAGAGTGAAGAGGAGAAAAATGTATTTTCTTAAATAACCGACAAGGACATTCCCAGTGTCGGAGGAATGTAACAATTGCTGGGCAGCACTAATGAAAATGTGCCGCACCTAGACTCCTACAGGTCACATGCCATAAGACTAAGACTAAAGAGAAAATCATGAAAGCTTCCAAGGGGACAATTTGATTATCTCTGCAAATCAGAGTGGTGTCCCAATTTCTCAGCAGCCATATTAGATGATGGACAACTGTGGGGAAAAAAGCTTTGAAATTCTCAGGGGAAAATGATTTGGAATTTCAAGTTTTGTGATTAGCCAAACTAGCCTCCAAAAAATTGAGAACAAATAAATACATTTTAGGAATGCAAAGACTCAAACATTTATTGAAAGAAATTCCTTCAGGTGGACTCACAGAAGGACATGAGATAAAAGAAACAGTGATAAGCAAGGAAACCAGTGAACTTGAGTCAAGTATAAGTAATTAAAATTGTTTCCATGAAAAATTATTTCTGTGAAGCAAAAGAAATATGTTAGTAATATAACTTTGGAGAGCTGTTAAATGATTTATACAAATCTTGGAAAAGGGACAAGAGGAAAACATACTTTTTTTGGAGAGCATTATTGTTTAACTCACTGTTGATATAATTACAGAAGTTTAAATGTTTGTCGAAAATACAAAGTTGAAAAAATTTTGATGATCATTAAAAGAACAAAATAAAGTATATAGTTTCCAAACCACTGGAGTAGGAGTTAGCAAACTATTTCGTAAAGGACTAGGGAGTAACATGTTTCAAGCATTGTAGGCAGTACAGTCTCTGCTGTACCTGTTCACTCAGCCACTGCAACACAGAAGCCACCATAGATCATCTGTAAAAACAAATGAGTATGGCTGAGCTCCAATCAAACTTTATACATGAAATTTGAATTTGATATAATTTTTGTATCTTCTAAAATATTCTTCTTGGATTGTGGGCCATTCAAAGACTGTGGGCTGGATTTGGTCCATAGTTTGCTGACCTCTGCATTGGAGAACTTAAGGAAGGAGGCTGAGAAAACTTAATAATTTCAGCTAAAGACAGTAAAGGGGAGAACGGTGGGCAAGAAATCAAAGTCTAACAAACATAAAACATAAATGATGATGTCAGTTCCCCTAATAAATGTGAATGGAGTAAGCTTTCTAGGAAAGACACATTCTCAGATTGGGTACGTCCTAAATGATAATAAGTTAGTAGATCATGGTGTATCTGCACAGAATAGTATTACTTAAAGTGGGATTCTTGTAACAGTGCCCATTCGCAAACTGGCTGGTCCACCATGAGCTAAGGACATAAACAGGGAAGAAGAGTGGGTGGAAACTTTTAGAGTGTCGTGACATTGTTATAACTTCCAAGTGTATGATCATTGTTCTAGTAACTCATTTTATTGTATTTTATAAAACTGTTGGTCAATAATGGTTAAGAAATTAAAATTAAAACTGGTTTGAGAAGCCCTAATAGAGAATACAGTGCAGGAATTAAAAAATGAAGTAGATCCATATAAATAGACACATTAAATGAAAAAAGGAAATCACAGAACAGTATGCAAGGTATGACTCTTAAGTGTTTTCTAAAACACCAATCATACATGTAATGAATTTTTTAAATGTGGAATAAGTTACATCAAACTATTAGCCATGATTATAAAACAACTTATGACCGGTGGATTGGGGTTGAAGGATGTGGTAATAAAGGCATATTCTCTTGTTTAAATCTATATACTTTTATCTTGTTGGACACTTTTTTACAGTAATATGTTTCCATTTATTGTGTAATGCTTTTTAAATATTTTATTATTTCATGTTCTCGTGGTCCTTTCAATGCTTGTCAGTTGAATATCCATATGGAAAACAAGTATCCATACTGCTACCTCACACTATATACAAAAATTCTTTTGAGGTAGATCATAAACCAAAATATGAAAGTTAAAACAGTAAAGCTTCTAGAAGAATAAATGGAATAATGCCTTCACAACTTTGGAACAGGAAAAAATTTTGTAAGCAATACACAAAGAGCACCAGCCACAAGGAGAAGATTTGTAAATTGTGCTTCATTAGTATTAGATGTTAAGTTCATAACAAGACACCGTTAAAGGAGAGAATATGCAAGCTATGGATTGAGGGATGATATCTGGTATATTGTTGAAACTTAGAGTTATATAGATTTTTGATTGTGTGTGCGTGCACGCGCACTCCACACACATGCAAAGAGTTTGCAGAAGTATTCACAAAGAAGCCATCGATGACTTGCATATGAAAAGGCTCTCACTGTCATTAATCATAAGAGAAATTCAAACTCAAACCACTGTACCTGCATTAGAATGGCTAAAAATATAAGGACCTATAAGAGTTGGCAAGGCCATTGATAGAGCAGTTAGAACACTCAAACATTGACTTGGGAGTGTCAGTTGGTACAATCACTTTGAAAAACATGCTGTCTACGAATGCTGAGCATACATAAATCCTGCCATGAAACTTCTCCATTCCTGACTATTCACTCAATAGAATCAGTGCCTACGTTTAACAAAAGATACGAGAATATCCGTGTTAGCTTGATTCCTAATAGCTAAGAAATCTCTCCATCAAGAGTATAAACAAGTTGTGGTATATTCATATAATGACTGTAAAAGCATTTTTGTTTTGATGTTGTGAATGAGAACTTTCTGGTTACATTTTTATGTTCCTTGATATAATATTCTGAGTATTATTAAACTTCTTAATCACACTAATGATAATAGCTATTATTTATTGATACTTTGTGCTAAGCAGTCTTATTTCTTACAACAGTCCCTATTTGGTACATACTATCACAGCATTATGCTCATTTTGATATGTGGGGTCAGTGAGGGACAAAGACTGAACGGTTCTTTTGTGGTAGAGCTATGGTTCTAACCCAGGCAATCGCACTCCAGAGCTACACTGCTTACAGGCACTACGGTGAGGGCCTCAGTGTCCTCAGGTGAAGGAGGAAAGATGTGTGGGAGGGCCAGGTGTGGGATCAAGTCCAGTACTGATGGGTAGGACTGGCAGCACCGTCCGTAACTAGTAATTGGGTGTACAGCAGCAAGACCTATACCAAAGTGGTTGTTGGGTGGATGTTCATTTGCATTTGTAGACTCCAGTATTCTAGCTTGGACTTCTTCAAACCAAATAGTCTTACGATTTTTAAAATCATTGGCAAATGATTTAATGATCCTTTTATATCTTCCCAGGGTGCCAATGTCTTTACCAAATGATGCTTTAAAACTACTGTTTTAGTCATGTTCTTTGTTTGCAAAGAACTACCACTTACTGCAGAGATGCACTGGCCTGTAAGGGAGACGGACTCTTGTGGATACCCCAGAGGCGGATCCATAGACTGGCCAGCGCTTGTGGAGACTAAAACTGTCTTCTGTTCTGGATTACAGTCAGCTTTAGGCACTTCAGCAGCAAGATTTTTAGATCTTTACTAGTGTGCTATTTTTATTTTCCCTCAGCTGCTGCTGTCATAATATCAGCTTTTTTATATATCCATTTACCTTTATATTGCCAGTGCTTTCTCTCCATGGTCCCAAGTAAAATTTCTGCGAGAGAACATTGGCCACGAGAGTTACTGTGTTTGGGCCAAGTGTTTTCATGCTTCAGAGACTATTCAACGGACTATAGATTGGCTGCCTTAAGTCAGCTATTTACCACATTAGTTTTAGTCATTTCTGGCCAGGGTGGGATGGCTGGTTAGGTTAAACATGGCTCGTCCAAGGCTGACTACCTCTTTAGTAGCAAAGTTGATTTGCCCTAAATATAAAGGGAGTGTGATCACAGTGTATATTCTGGTTAGTGTGTTTAGTATCCATTACACATTTTCTCTTTTCAGTAAAATCTAAAGAAGTGGCTAGCATTGAAAATAATAGTTGAATTTAGAGATCAAGTAGTACAGAATGGGAAATATTAAAGAGAATGCTTGTATGCATGACTTGAGAACAGTCCTTACTTACTGTTTTGTAAGTCTGACAACATGTTGTGTGTATCTCTTGTAGGTACCTTGGTTAAAATGTCTGGTTAGGATTGTTAAAACTTTGGATGAGTTACTGATAAATATTAGGGAACTTTTTTTCCTTGCTATTTTAATAGGTAAGCTTGGCTTGAAAAGTTTTTGAGAATTTTGCAAAACCTTTAAGAATATTCTCTGGTATAGGTGTTATTTAACCCAAGGTATATCATGAGGTGCTTATTAGGATAGTAAATAGTTCATAGTAAAAAAATTGAAATATTCAATAATATGTGGATATTGGCAATAAAATTATATGTAAATACTTGTTAAATTGATTCTAGGTTGGGCCATGCAGGCTGCTGCCTATATCTTCATTCATAGGAAATGGAAAGATGACAAGAGCCATTTTGAAGACATGATTGATTATTTCTGTGATATCCGTGAACCACTTCAACTCCTCATATTCCCAGAGGGGACTGATCTCACAGGTAGGTAGCCTGGGATTAGATCGCAGATTTTTAAAACATGAAGGAACTTAGAAACAATTTAGTCTAAACTTCTAATTCCTCACATGAAGCAATTGAACTCAGATTAATGGCCCACCACTAAGGCCACTCACTCAGTTCATCAGTAGCACGTTAGAACCTAGAATTCCTGGTTTCCAGACCATAGAATTGATGATGGGAAACTCCAAGAAGCCATTACTGCTCCTACTTGCCATCCTAGAGCTTTATGTTTTTATTTTATTTTTAATTATAGTATTTTATTTATTTTAGACAGAGAGAAAGAGCATGAGTGGGGGAGAGGGACAGAGGCAGAGAGAGAGGGAGAGAATCTCAAGTAGTCTCTACACTTGGTGCTGGAGCCCAGTGTGGAGCTTGATCTCAAGACTCTGGGCTGAAAATCCACCGTAAGACACTCAACCACCTGAGCCACCCAGGCACCCTGAGCTTTATGTTTTAAGTCTCACTATATATTTTAAATATCAGCTTTTTATATAATTGTATATAATTTGTATGGAAACACACACACACATACACACGCCCAAGAAATCTTAAGAATAAAGGCTAATTTTAAAATCCCCTTCCTGTTCTATATATTCTCTGTCCTCTTTCAAGATATTTATATTTATCTATTAAGCCCTTTTTTCTCAACTTCTTTTTTATAAGAAAAGCATATGATGGTAATCCATTAATTTATTGTTGATTTAAGTTAATATGTTGCCTTTATCTGGATATTTTAAAGTTTTATCCCTACTATTTCCTACTATAAGCAGGAAAGGCTTTGTCCTGTCCTCAAGAAAATTCAGCTACCGCTGATTTGTGGAGCGACACAGGACATATTTAGGACTTTTGTGCCTTCCCAGTTATTAAACTACATGGATAGGCCAAGAATACCAGTGAATCTCAAGGAATTCTTTACAAGATGAAAAATAAAATACAGTCTTTTATTCTTCTAAATCAGCAGTTCTCACACGTTTTTAAAGTACAGATCATTTTTGCAGGTGAAGCCGCCTACTGCAGTCTAGCATTGAAGACAGAAGAACTGTTTTGGTTGAATATTGTCAGGGTGGGGTAAGCTTGGACAGGAAGCAGTTCTGTAGAATCTGATTCAAAGAGCAAAATTTTAAAGCTGTTAGTAACCTGGATACTTCAAGAAAGATAGAGCAGAATTTGGGAAGGATCTGGTGGATAAAGGTCTGCTGTAGAAGAGAAGACAGACTGAAGTCTGAAACTCACAAATAGTATGGAGAGACAGAACATGAACTTGTCTTCCAAATCCTCAATACCAGATCCCCTGAGAAGGGGAAACTTTAGAGCTTAAGAGGGGAGAACATGTCAATTAACATACTAATTCACTGTGTGGACATAATAATTTATGGAACCCAATACCCACAGAGTTCAAGATAAAAAGTATATATTATACAACTATTTAAGTGAATGGATGACTAAGCCATAATATGTTAATGAGGAACATTCAGATATTTGGGCAACATTCACCATTGATACCAAGGAAGACTTCTCTGTTTGGATGGAACTGAGCTAAGTGAACCATGGCAATTTTTATTCAATACTATTTTGTACTAAAATATATGCTTACTATATAGGTTTACTATATAGTTAAAATCCTAAAAGTAGTTGGATCACAGAGGATAATACTGAGGATAATATTGGATGCATATTGTTTAAGTTTGAAAATGTCCTGTAGCTTGTAAATTAAATGATTCCCAGAACTAAACTATCATTAGGAAATTATCATGGACAGCCAGCCATATTGAAATCTTACAGTTAAGAATGTATAATACTTTGGGGTGCCCAGGTGGCTCAGTCAGTTAAGTATCCAACTCTTGATCTTGGCTCAGGTCATGATCTCACATCAGGCTTTGCACTGACAGTGTGGAGCCTGCTTGGGATTCTGTATCTCTCTCTCTCTCTTTTTCTCTTTCTCTCTCTCCTCCCCTCCCCCTGCTCTCTGCCCTTCCCCCACTCATACTTGCATGCTCAGTCTTTCAAAATAAACCTTAAAAAGTAGAATATATTTGGTCATTGAAAGATCAGCTATATTATAAAAGGTAATTTTCTGAAGTGATAGATTGATTTATATTTGCAGTGCCAAAATGTACATTAAAGAATGGCAACTTTAGAAGTTATTTAGTCATTGGGGCGCCTGGGTGGCTTAGTCGGTTAAGCGTCCGACTTTCGCTTAGGTCATGATCTCGCGGTTCGTGGGTTCGAGCCCCGCGTCGGGCCCTGTGCTGACTGCCAGCTCGGAGCCTGGAGCCTGTTTCAGTCTGTGACTCCTTCTCTCTCTGACCCTCCCCTGCTCACGCTGTCTCTCTCTCTCTCCTAGAAATAAATAAAAAACATTAAAAAAAAAAAAAAAGAAGAAGAAGTTATTTAGTCATTAAAAGCTAACAGAAAAAAAGTTTCCAGATTGCTGTGACTTTATGGTATATTAGTGTTAAAATGTTTATATATTAGATCTTCAGGACCTATAAAGTATATATTTAAAACTTTTTTCAGTCTATATTTGTTCTCAAGTTTTTCTTTTACATAATGAACTTAACATCTTGTTGCATATTTTCAGGGTCCAGAGTGCTCACCATTACATGATGTGGTTGTCTATTTTTTAAGTTAAAATGATATTTACAGTTTTAAAGGCCAACTTACGAAAGCTAGACTGTTTGCCAAATAGAGATCCTGAAGCTTTCAGATCCTGAAGCTTTCAGAAGTTTTTTTTAACAGGATTATACAGGTCTTTTTGAGTTCAGATAAATGATTATCTTTGAAAAAGTACCTGTTAATTCAAAGTTGTTTCTAGTTACCATAGTTAGCTCGAAACTTTTTTTTAAGCCTGAAGGGAATGTTTTATAACCTTCTATAAGTTCAGAGTCCAGCTGGCTTGCAACATTTTCAAGTTAATGTTTTAAATATAAGTTTACATATATTTTATCATTGTATGTTACTATTGGTTATAACTTTTTTTCTTGCCTATGGAAGTCATAGGTTGAATTTGGGGAAATTTAGAAACATAGAAGAGAGCACAAAAATTATAATCCCACTGCCCATAGACAGACACTATTATAATTTTGGTCCATTGCTTTTGGGTCATTTGGTCACACACACGCACACACACACACACACACACACAAATATATGTGCATGTGTACACACATAATTTTGAACACTTGAGAAATTGGAATTATACTTTTCTTTGCACTTAATGTGATATTATCTCTCCTATCATTATTTATTCCTTGAAAACACATGTATTAAAAGTTGGACAGTTTTATATTATATAGGTTTAATTAGGGTTGTCCAGAAAAACAGAACCGACAGGGGTGTGTGTGTGTGTGTGTGTGTGTGTGTGTGTGTAGAAAGATTGAAATGGAAAGAAATTGTGATGGGAATTGGGGCTTTAAGGAACTGACTCATGTGGTTGTGGAGGTTTATTGAGTCAAAAATCTGTAATGTTAGTAGGCTGATGACCCAGGGAAGAGTTGCAGTTCAAGTCCAGAGGCCGTCTGCCTGACTGAACTCTTTCTTGCTTGAGAAGGTTAGTCTTTTTCTGTTAAGGCCTTTAAGTGATTGGACATGGCTCACCCGTATTATGGAGAATAATCTGTTTATGCAAAGTCTTCTGATTTAAATATTAATCTCCTTGAAAAATACCTTCACAGAAACATCTAGAGTAATATTGGACCAACTCTCTGGCTATGCCAGTTTGATAAATAAACTTAACCATAACAATTGGTATACTGTAATTTTGAGTTCTGTGTCTGTGATTTGGAAAGAAAAGTTTTTCTCGGTTTTAACAATTATAATATTTCATGTAATTGAACACTTTGTACACAAAACTTCATTTAATAAATGTGAGTACCCAAAGCTTTATACACAAAACAAAGCCCCTACTTTCATGAAGCTTACATTTTATGAGGAAAGACAGAATGAAAAACCAATCAGTTAATAAAAATATGTCAGGTGTTCATAAATGCCGTACAGAGAAATAAAGCAAGATAAGGGCAGGGAGAGGAATAGATAGGGCATAGGGCACTCTTATATAAGTTTGTCAAAAGAAGCTGCTTACATATCTGTCTAAGTAGAGACTATCTGAATGAAGCAGAAAACCTTGCAGATATCTGGGCACAAGGCATTCCGGGTAGGGGAAGCAATGCCTGCACAGACCCTGAAGTAGAAACATGGCCTCACTGGTTTGAGAATCAGAGTGGCCGGTAGTCAACTCCGCTTGGAAGGGGAGCTGGCACTGGCGTGTTCCCAGCAGTGAGCTCACGAGACAGGAGGCTGTGGTCCGAAAGAGGGAGGCTGGTATACTTACTAACAATCAGAGTCCAGGGGTGGGTAGATCAAGTGGGGATGGAAGGAAAAATCTGCATCTCTAATCTCTTTGTGTCTCAGATTATCTCTACCTCCTCACACTGTGATGGTATGTTTTTAGAACTACTTATGTTCCCATTCTACGACAGAGTTCAGTTTTGTCTTCCAATCCCTGGAGTCTATGATGAACCGGAAGTGGAAACTGAAGAGTAGTTAATACTCATCTTTGTAGTGTCCCTGGAGCTCCTCATTCCATGGAAGGGCCTTCTAGCTGTGTATCAAAAACTGTTTTGGAGTCCAATGCGTGGGATATTCTCAAATGAATGTGAGAAGAGCTTATTCCCTTTCGTGTTTACAGCCTGTACTTTTCTCTTACTAGGGACTGTGGGTATTCAGTTCTTTGACTCGATTTTTCAATTATAAAATAGTGTAACACCTTTTAGAGGGGTATTCTTTGAATATTTTAGTGTTGTGGAATTCATCTATGGCATTTTGAGGTCAAGGACTCCATGATCTTAAATTTATTCCAAGGAAGGTTGGGTTTATATAGAGAATTTTCTTTTCTTCTGACTTGGAATAGTCTATAAATTTTAGGATGCAGCTGAGAGTTGCGGATTCTAACATCTGCTGTCATCAGAAGGTATTTTCATGATCTCTCCCAGCAGTTGAGGCCAAATTTCTGAACACTACTTTTTCCAAATATATTTGCTGAATAATGGGTTTGGTTCTTCTTGGAACTTATAAAGTTACCTCATGGAATGGAAAAAGCAGCTTTTGCCAACAATTGGAACATATACTTGACTCTGTAACTATATTCAGCCAAACCATGTTCAGATGTTTGTACACGATGTGCTAATCGTGTGCCCATTCTGTTGGGGAGTGGTTTTGGTTAGTAATATTAGCATGCTCCATGCCTGAGTGGGGCAGATATTTCACTTTGCACCGAAGCCCTAAATTACTGGTTAAAAAAAAATGTTGATGTGATATACTTGGCATATTTACTACTTGTTTTTTCTGAGTGTAGAGGTCCTTATGTTTTATTTAAAGTATTTTATTTTTATTAGCCTCTTTTAGTATTTCAATTTTTATGTTAAAGACTATTTTATGAAAATTTCAGTTTGTTAGCATTTTATTTGTACTTAAGTTTTCATCGTATATTGACAATTTTATGAACTCCCTTAAAGAATTTTAAAGAGTTGAATATGAATTTCAGGAAACATTCTAAAAAGTCCTATTTAATACGTTATAAAAATTTCAAAATTCCCAAAACTCTAGGACCTTTGTTAGGGGGTGCAGTGTTTGTATCTTCTCATTTGACTCAGTAATGCTATATTCAGTACTTACAGATTCATTAGCTGCCGTTTTATCAATGAATTCCTTCATGGTTTCATTATCTCACTTATCTTTATTTTATGGCTTCTAATAGTTTGTTGTTATGTTTAGAAAACAGCAAAGCTCGAAGTAATGATTTTGCTGAAAAGAATGGGCTTCAGAAATATGAATATGTCTTGCACCCAAGAACTACAGGCTTCACTTTTGTCGTAGACCGTCTAAGAGAAGGTAAGCACCCATAAAAAGGCTGTGTTCTTATGTAAGTGGCAACAGTTGCTAAACTTTATATGTAGCCCTTTAGAATATACAAAGCACTTGCGTATTTTTTTCTCAAGATACAAGATACTGTCATTTATACTAAGTTGACCCCATGCACTAAACTGCCTTATTATGTATTATTTATCAAATATCAAAGATATCTTTATAAAAAATTTTTCTCCTCTTGGAATAACAGAAAATAATATAATTAGACTATCCTTCTCTTTTTAAAATTTTCTCAAAGTAGCAAAACTATTTTGAAAGCATCTTGATACTTACACTATTGTTCTTTAAAACTTATAAAATATTTTTGCATTCTTTATTCCACACATTCCAGCAAATGATTCTGGTTGGTAGGAAGGCAAGTACTGACTGCTTCCTCCAATCTATAGTTAAGTAGAACTGACATCCATGGTGCTTAGTAAATTTCTGTAGTCAGGGATAGAACCTCTTTCTTCTGCTTCCTACTTTGTAGCTCATACTACTACCTCACATGGCCTCAAGAGTTGTGTCTGTTTATGGGCATATCAGGACAAGGTGATTCCATTGATGATATCCCATCCATTTAAATGTTTACTTTTCATATTTGTTATGTAAAAACCAATTGTACATCTTATTGCTGCATATTTGTATTGTTAGTATATCGATACATACATATGTAGAGACATATAACACTTAGGAATATATATGGAACAGGAGCTATCCAGAAACATGCTGAAGTGAATCTTATAAGAAGGATTTAAAGCCCAGAGTCACCTAGTAGAAGAAAAATCTTGTTTATGTATTTCTGCTCTCCACCCTGATTTCTACCAAGCCATATTGTATGATGGTGGCATCTGTGACAAATTATCTTCATCTGATTATTGCTGCATTGTCGTAAAACTGCTTGTGGATTAACATGAAAGTTGTTGAATCATTATATAAGAAAAGGTATGAAGTTCTTTTATCTTTCTCTAATGGCATTGTTGTTGTTCCTTTAGGGTTAAATGTGCTTTAAGGTACAAAGTCTAATCTTAGTTAATGAACTCTGCCAGGATGAAACATCTTTACAACTAAATACCCATGATTTTAAAAAACATAGTCAATCTAAAATTACATTGGTATAGTAAACCAAAAATGTTGTTCCTATTAGTTTGGCTTACTCTTGAAATTCTGTGGTTATAACTAATGTGAAATGGATTTATGGGCTTGACGGTCATACTGTATATGAAGACCGAGTGTCCGTCTACCCAGCGAAACTCCTGGAGACCACAGTTCTTCCTGCCTACCAAATGGGACAGGGAGGCACCAAGACATTAAAGTGGTGATGGGTTTTTTGTTGTTGTTTTTGTTTTAATATGTGGTACCACTTGACTGTAGCCTCCAGCTTAGGCGCACCCTTCTCATTCAATAATATGTTTTCTATTTCCTCACTAATCTGATAGCTTATAGTATTTAATGATTTCTTTGAAGGTATTTCTGACATCATGGAACACATTCATCTAATGGATTTCTCTGTAAATACAAGCATGCTGTTGGAACACATCTTTTGCTAAAAAAAATCTTCCTAAATGTAGGCAGGATAATAGATTATTTAAGTGGATAAGGATATATCTGTAGATCTTTCTGTTCTGAGATCTTGAAAATATTTCAGAAGCAAGCTGATGTATAACTTTGGGGAATGTGTGTTACTTAGTCATCACTCAGAGTACTAGTCAAGAACCAGTGTGTAATTTTTCCTGCTAGAACGGGCAATGGATTCTCCCCACCCACCATATCAGAAAAAAGAGAAACACAGTTAGATGGTTCTATTTACTTCAGTTAGAAAACCAGAATAGAATTTGTACATTGTAATAATAAGAAATATGACAGAAACTAACGTATATTGAGCATTTAGTAAGTACCATTGAGCCAAGTATTTCATATGCCTGAGGTCAACTAATCTTGACAATAACCATACATAGTAGTTAACATTATTAATATTTAACTTGTAGGAAAAAACTGAAGCAGAAATTGAGGTGAAGAAGCTTGTCAGAGTTATTAAAATCTGGTTCCTTTGACTGAATATCCCATGTTCTTTTTTAAAAAATTGTTTCTAATATTTCATTTTTGAGAGAGAGAAAGAGACAGAAAGCAAGCAGGGGAGGGGCAGAGAGAGTAGGAGACACAGAATCTGAAGTAGGCTCCAGGCTCTGAGCTTTCAGCATAGAGCTTGACATGAGGCTCACACTCAGGAGCGGTGAAATCATGGCCTCAGCTAAAGTCGGACGCCCAACTGACTGAGTCCCACCCAGGTGCTCCCCATGCCTCTTGTATTTGTAGTGTGATCTTGGTTAACAAAGTCTCCACAAAGCACTTTTCTACTAATAGTGACCTGAATGGTTTTACTCAAAAAAGATTTTTAAAAAGAAAAAAAAAAAAAAAAGCAGCAGCTAAGTGGCCAGATCATGGAGGGATGGTAGTCCCAAAGGAGGAGGTTATGGTTCTGCCTAGGATGACAGGGGAGGGGAGAGTCAAGGGCAACTCTACTTTTGGGGGACGAGGGGTGGTATCAAGTAAACATCAAAAGTTTCATCAAAGATAGGAGGATCTTAGAAATGAATTGAAGCCTCTGAAAAGGCCAGGCCCAACTTTCTGATCTTTAGGTCGCTGAGATTTGCTTTGGATAATCACTTATATGAAAAAGAAGCTCTCTGTTAAAACAAATGACTATATAAATTATTCCAGTGGAATCCTAGAAACCACATGGTAAAAAGAATTACCATAAAGTATCATCTTCACTCCTCACACATATAACTAAATTCAGTGTTGCTGACATCTCTTTGGCAATCAGCAGTAATGGGCACATGAGAAGTTTAGGACATCAAGAAACTAAGGATGAACTTCTACCGGGAAAGACTGAATAAATGAAAATGCAAAACATGGAAAAGTAGCTTCTGCACCTCTGTTCAGAGTATAGTTCATGGAGATTAGGCACATTTAGAAGACACATGCATACCGTGAAATATAGCACCCATTATATAATGTTATACAGATGTGTTATTCCTGTAGTGGTGACTGCAAAAGATTTCCCCTGAATACCTTAAACTTCACCATTAATGTGCTTGCTTTATACTCTTATTAGACCATAACCTTCTTGAGGGTATGGAAAGTGCTGTACATGGTTAATTTTTTTTTTGCCTTTTATCTGAAAAATAAGACAAGCCTAGTGTCCTAGCATGTTCTTCTAAGTATATATTACACTGACAGACTGTCTATCATGGATGATTTCAGATCTACTTCTAATCACAACCTTTCAGTATGTGATTATATGGGTTTTTTTTGGTACTATGTTAACCCACATGCAAAAGTTTTCTAGCTTAGAGAAAAAAGGCTTTTACATGAAAAAGTTTTTTTTTTCATTGACAGCTGTAATAAATTTATCAGATAAGTTTAAACTTGTAACTCATTCCCACCAAAAGTTAGTTATATTATCATCTCTGGTGCTTTATCATTTAAAAAATTTTTCTTTAATGTTTATTTATTATTTTTGAGAGAGAGAGAGAGCATGAGAAGGGGAGAGGCAGAGAGAGAGAGAGAGAGGGAGAGAGAGAGACATAGAATCTGAAGCAGGCTCTAGGCTCTGAGCCGTCAGCACAGAGCCCAATGTGGGGCTTAAATCCATAAACTGCAAGATCATGACCTGAGCTGAAGTCAGACACCCAATCAACCAAGCCACCCAGGCACCCCTGGTGCTTCATCATTTTTAACAATAGCTTTCTTCTTTTTTGATTTTAAATAAAGATTTGGTCCCACCATTATTTTATTTCATTCAGTGTTTTATAAGCCAATTACTAAGTTGTAACCATGCAGTAATTACTTTCACCATTAGGCGGCACAAATGTGTACATTTGAAACACTTGAAGTTAGGTTACAGTGGTTGGGAGTGAGTACAAAACACTTCATATTTGTTTGAGGGTATGTCTTGTTTAAAAAATGACCTTGCTTAGTGAGCACATCTATATACTGGAAATAAAACTGACCCATCTCCACAGGGACAGCTGCTATGCTTGGGACCCTCCCTGATCTCCCCGACCCTATGTATCTCTTCCTCTGGCTGTATACTTTATCATATCCTTTAATAAACTGGTAAACATTAAAAAAATAAAATATGACCTCACCTAGAAGTTTACAGTCTTCTTGGGTAGATAGGAATACACCTAGAAAAATCTTAAAAAATAGTACATTACATGCTAAATTTTATGGTATATAGCATATAAACATTTTGAATAATTATAGTAGTGTTCAGTAAAGAGAGATCATATAGTATTGAAACACTTCACTTCTTTAAGAAGCTTAATTCCTCTTTGGACTTTCAAGACTATATGTGATTTGGAGAGGCAGAAACAAAGAAGGCTGAGGATGAGATAGGAAGAGAGTCAAGAAAGGGCATAGAGTTTGGGCCAGTATGAGGCTGTGCAGTAAACTAGGCACAATGAATGTGATTGAGCTGAAGACTTGTACTATAGAATAATAGACTATAAGAAGGTTGTTTGGAGCCATTGCTGAAAAACTTAAATCCTGCCCCCAAATAGTCATGTTTTTAGATGTCCATTTCTAGCTGAAGTCATTCAAGCAGCAGCTCATGTGGTAAGACTCTAAAACATCATATAGATCTATTTAAGTTTTGGGTTTTTAAAAATGATTTTTTAATGTTTATTCATTTTTGAGAGAGAGAGAGACAGAGTGTGAGCAGGGGAGGGGCAGAGAGAGAGAGGGAGACACAGAATCCGAAGCAGTCTCCAGGCTCTGAGCTGTCAGTACAGACCCTGATGTGCGGAACGAACTCACCACAAGATCATGACCTGAGCCCAAGTCAGGCGCTTAACTGACTGGGCCACCCAGGCACCTCAAGTTTTGGGTTTTTAAATTCCAAGATAATCCATATTTAGCTTTTATGTTTATGTTCTAAATATGAAAGATGCTTTATTTCTACTAATGTAGGAGATATA